TGAGAACCTGCAAGAAAAGGGGACTTGCTATACATCTACAAATGGGTAATCAAATACAAGCGACAGGTGTATACATTTTATCTTTTACACTAAAAAGAAAGGAGTAATTAAAGTCGACTTATTAATTTTGGGAGCTGACGGCATGAGATCAATGTAGGGATTCAAATGTTCATGTACTAATTTAAGGGTATTTATTGATTTTGAGATTCATTGAGACCTAATTGTCAACAAATTAAAGTTCTTCTTCCGTCTTTCGTATATGTTAATTGTACACTTGATCAACCATATTAGACCATCCAAATCGTAGCTCCAACAAGGTGTAATGGTCGTGTGCGCTCTAAGCTCAAGCCAGATGGCCACTTATTATTGTTTTCACCTCTTGATTATACTTTTTTCACCTACCTTTGAATGAGAGAGCATCGAGTATATATACGAGGGAGTAGGTAGAAGAGGTCTTTTTCTGGATGCTTACATGTAGACTCATTCAAACGGTTCACTTGTTATGTTCAATTGTTTTAATCCATAGTCATTACATTTCATAGCCTAAGAAATTGTGATATGATTTCAGCGTTGCCGTTGTAGAGCGAACATCAATCACTTTGTGCAACTTGACCGAGGTTATGCATCGCCTCAGATGACAATAATGTACTAAGAAGTAAGGCATTTAAAGGCAAGGCCTAATCACCTAGAAAGAAGCATGCTGACGAGGTGATGCAAAAGGATTGTTGACCTTGCGTTACATTTTGCTTAAGTGGCTGTCACGTAGCCAGAGGTGCAATAATATATATGTACGTAAAAAAAATATGTATTTGCCATGATTTTTGCTGAATATAAAAATTTATATATATATATGATAGTCTTCACGAAAAAAAAAATAAAAATAAAAAAATAAAAGAAATTGGCATGCATTTTGTGGAGTGCGATCAATGGCTACATGTATGGTGGAGAAAAAAAATTTTCAAGGGAATTTTTGAGAAAGTTTTGAAAATGTTCCGGGCAATCGCCCCCTCCTCCCCCCACGCCTCCAATGTGGCTCCGCCACTCATCTCTAATATCTTAGACTTTTAAACAAGAAACGTTATCTTAGTGGCCTATATTTTCGTTGAACATTTGCATTGGATACTTGGCGTCCGTTATTTGATAGCATAACAAGACAACATGAAAATAATAACTGAAGGTCAAAAAAATAAAAAAATAAATGTATATTGAGACTTGGAAGATTGATTATACAACAAAGAAGTGCATGAATTTCAAAAATCCAGACTGGTTCAAATTCAAAAACCAGCATAGCTAGTGGCCACTCTGGAAATCTCACAGTATATCCGCGTGAAATCAATGCATCTAACTACTCATCTGTATAAAGCACAAACCTCAGCTAAAAGATAGGATCACTCCTCTGTCATAAACATTCAATACTTGTCTTTAATTTCATCACACACAAAACCAGCCCTTTAGGCATTTTCTTCCTTTATTTCCTCTTCTTTTTTCTGCTGCAACATTCTATTGCCTTTTTCTCTTTTGCTCGATTGTTGGAAAAATGGGTTGTGGGCTGATTCAGAGTTGGTTGGCGGTGTGTGTGGTGGCCTTGGTCGTGGTGGAGCTTTGTTATGAGCAGGCCGTGGCTGAACCCCAAGTTCCTTGTTACTTCATATTTGGTGACTCTTTGGTGGACAATGGTAATAACAATAACATCCAATCGCTGGCAAGAGCTAACTTTTTACCTTATGGGATTGATTTTCCCGATGGACCAACTGGAAGATTCTCCAATGGTAAAACCACAGTAGATGTCATCGGTAAGGCCTCGCTCTCCACATTGAACCACCTGATCTAAAAATTTAAGTCGTTAGAAATATGACAAACTTATTTTAATTACCACAAACAACTTAAAAATAGTACTGAAATTCTGATGTTGCATGTGTCTATACAGCTGAGCTATTGGGATTCGATGGTTACATTCCTCCTTACGCCGTTGCTCGTGACCAAGACATACTCAGGGGAGTGAACTATGCATCTGCAGCAGCAGGAATTAGATCAGAAACTGGCCAGCAATTGGTAAGTTAAGAACATTTTTTCACATAAATTCAATAATATTATTTGCAAGGTTTCTCGTCGTTAAATCTTGTTCGCTTGTAGGGCGGCCGGATTGATTTTACTGGGCAGGTAACTAATTACAAGAACACGGTTTCACAAGTGGTGAACATACTCGGGGACGAAGACTCCGCTGCAAATTATCTTAGCAAGTGTATATATTCAGTTGGAGTGGGAAGTAACGATTATCTCAACAACTATTTCATGCCTACCTACTATACGACTAGCAGGCAATTTTCTCCTGAACAATACGCCGATATTCTCATCCAACAGTACTCCGAGCAAATTCGGGTATGGAATCCATCTTTGTTACCATTTCCTTGTGGTTAAAATTTACAGTAAAAACTCACTCTAAATAACGTTTGTGGCTATAGACTTTGTACAAGTATGGAGCAAGGAAGTTTGTCTTAAATGGAGTGGGTCAAATTGGATGCAGTCCAAACGCATTGGCACAGAACAGTGCTGATGGCTCAACATGCGTACAAAGGATTAACGCTGCAAATCAAATATTCAATAACAAACTCAAAGCACTTGTTGATGACTTCAACAGCAATTCGCCTGATGCAAAATTTATCTACATAAATGGCTATGGGATTTTCCAGGATTTAATTGACAATCCTTCAGCCTTTGGTAATTACTCAAACTTTAATTTATTCAAGTCTGCAGGTATATTTCCCACTGTGATACGCAAGTTTTTACACTGGTAGCTAAAGGCGAGGCATGGCCGTCTTCTATTATTAGGAAATCAACAAGATGGCCGGCACGCGCCGGCTTTCCCCCCTCACGCGCCATTCTTCATAGTTTGGGGTCAATTGCAAATTGGTCCCTAAACTTCTCGCTGACATATATAGGTCCTTTCTTCATGAGATTTCCATTCTTTGTCTTCCATGTTCACCCAATTGTACCTGTATAGTCTCCAATCCTCGTTTTATGGTTCGAATAAGCTATTGAAAGTTTTTGATATAGTCCCCAAACTTTGGAGATCTTTCGTTTTAGCCCATTTTTCTCTCCATTTGTCCAATTCCATTATTTTTCATCGAATTTTACCTAACAAACGAAATGATACCATAATTAAGCCATAATTCAGAGAAATTTATCACAATTTATCTCATTAAAAGGTTTAGATAAGTGCATTAACTACATGCACCAGTACCTTTGGTGATCAACGTAACACTTGCAAGAGTGGTTTACTTACAATAATGTCATTGGTGATACTGTCACCATCACTTGTTGTTAAACTAGTCAACCATTGTTCAATTGGAAACCAGTTGAGATTGTCTGATGCCAAGCCTCGATTTTCAAAACATTGTTATTAACATGTATCGATTTGATTTCGCAGGTTTCAAGGTTACAAATGCAGGGTGTTGCGGTGTTGGAAGGAATAATGGGCAAATAACATGTCTCCCATTTCAAACACCATGTCAAAATAGAGACGAACACTTATTTTGGGATGCATTTCATCCCGGTGAGCATGCCAATATCATCCTAGGAAGAAGATCATACAGTGCTGAGAAGCCATCAGATGCATATCCCATGGATATTCGCCGCTTAGCTCAACTGTGAAACTTCTCATGATCATAAATTTATGATATAAATGGTATAATTTTCAATGTTATCGTTTTCATAATTTTCGAGGATTCAATGGAAAAAGTTACATTGAATTCATAGTGAATTGTAATTCTGAATATGGATATGGCCATCAAATGAATGGATTCAGAATTTCAATTTACACATTACTTTACTGTCATTTGCTTCTTTAGTTTCTTGTATTATCTTCTCATGGTATCAACAATGGAGAAATTATTACTGTTTTTCAACGAGTTCACCGGAATGAAACCCTAATTTCTTTTACTATTAGCTGACAGACAAATTCTACATTAATTGATATGAGGCGTTACCATTAATTCAAAATTAATTATTCGCACACTATAATTTAAGTTTGCTATGCTCTAAACATCAATATTTCCAGTTACTTTAGGGCACCGAAATTAATGAGTTGAAATCAAATGAATTGTGATGGCCGTACTAATTACTTTTAACTGTTTACAATTGTAATGGTTTATTTTTGTCCGTTGCAAAACTAACTTATTCTACTATTGCATCGCTGCTAATAATAATAATAATAATAATAAATCAAATAGTTTTCAAATATTTTGAATTTTACAATATTGATCAAAATATTTTAGACAAAGCTTTTATACTTTACTTAAAAGAATCAAAGAAAAGAAAAATGAGTGTCCGAACGTCCAAAGTCCAAACTGGCTATTAGCCGACACAGTGGAAATCAAGCCCATGTTTGGTGTAGTTAAAAAATGAATTTTTCATAGATTTTGATAAATATTAATAAAATATGAATTGAAAAGTTGTGAATTTCATAAAATATATAATTAAAATCAACTATTAACTGATTTAAATTTTTATCAAGATTTTAAGACACACCAAACTAGGTCTAATATCGATACTCTAACTTAAAAGCTATATTTATTTAGGGATGTCAACAAGTCGAGCCGGCTCGCAAGCCGATATTCTAGGCTTGGGCTCGACTCGGATAAAATGTTCGAGCCTTTTTTTGGGCTTGAGCCGGGCCAAGCAAAAGCTCGACAAAAAAAATTAGGCTCGGGCTGGCTCGGGTTTTGTTAAAATAAAGATATTTATCTCATTAAAATCAGCTTTTGCATGAAACCCTTTCTTTACTATTAAATCAATTTATGACAAAAATGGTTCAGGGCAACCGAAAATTTCACATTTGATGTCCTCGAACGACATTTTTTAAACTTCAAAATTAAAGAAGCTCATATATAGACTACATTCATTACATGCAAGTCTCTATCACTTAGTTTCTTGGAATTAATGGTATATTTAGATGTCTAAAGTCAAATTAATTAATTAATTAATTAACTGTTGTATATTAGATTTCATAGCAATTTGATGCTGCTAACAATAACTTTAGAATTTCTTTCAGTCTTCCATATATAGTTTACATTATGGCTTTCACTGTTCTCAATTCATCTCAAGATTAGCTTATAAATTGTTCTTGAAATGGGTTCTGGGGGTTTTAGAATATCGATTATGATATCCATTGTAGTATCAATAATTATGAAATCCCAAAATTGGGTTATGGGTCGAAAACAAGTTCCCTGCTTATTTCTTATGGGAGATTCACTGTTTGATAATGGCAATAATAATTTACTTATCACTATCACACAAGCGAAGGCTAATTATCCACCTTATGGAATTGATTATCCATATGGTCCGCCGGGAAGATTCTCCAACGGTCGAAATATTGTAGATTACTTAGGTATATTTTCATTTCCCCTGCATTTAATTAAAGTCGTGATAATACTTTCTCTAGTTGTCATCAGTTTGAGTTCTTTCATGGCCATTGAGGTGAGTATTCAACTGTAAACTTCTGAGCCTTGTGGGATTAGTCGAGGGTGGGCATAAACTGGACAAACACCCACGGTCATTTAAAAAAAAAAAGGGTCGTGATAATACTTTAATGGCATGTTTAGTTGGACGACTCTACAATATTCGATATTATTAACCCTTTTTTTCCCTATAACCGCGCCGAGGAATTCTTAGGTTTCGACAAGCCAATTTCACCATTTGTAACCACAAAAGGCTCGGAGATCCGAAAAGGTGTAAATTATGGATCAGGAGGAGCAGGAATTCTCGACGAGACTGAAGAATTACAGGTAATCAATAAGCCAAGTATTTGCATGAATATAGAGCTTCAGTTTCTCGTCCTAACACTCTTGTTTACTAGCTTCATATATTTTAGTAAAAAACATTGAATTTAATGAAGTGGTAAAAGAGAAATTGCGTAGTCGAATCTAAGGCATGTTCCGCAAAGTTTGTTGGAAAAAATGGTTTTACTGTGATACTTCGGGCTCAATTTTTAGTGGGATACAAATTCCGAAATTAATGGGATCAAGTATATTCATCTTCTACTCCATAAGATGATTAACATGATATATTTATTTGTCGAAAATCATTAATATTTGAATGAAATTTGATTTCAAAATTATTTTCTTGAAACGTGAAATGTTGAAGAATTTGATTGGATTGTTAATATCTGTCCCACTTAGAAACTTTGAAAAGAAAAGCCTTTGAATTTGATAAAATGATGGGTATAGGGGATATGCTGCTCATCGATGATGTGGCAACATGTCACCAGTGGACAACGTATCTCTTACCTATTATGGGTAGGAGATCAATTTTGTTGACTTCAAACCATAAAGGGCACCCAATTTTGTGGAAAGAGAGCTGACCTAGATATCATTACATCCAAACCATGTGCCAACCAATGTCCTTACATGTATACTTTTGAAAAAAAAAAAAAAAAAATTATTTAAAACTTTTTAATGAATTTTCCGGACCTAGTTGTAATTAATCAAATTCTTGAGTACTGAATGAAATTGTATTCTAACGGTCTTTTAAACTTGAATAGTTGACTTTTTTCGTTTAAAAAAAAAAAATGGCTTCGATGTTTGTTTGTGTAACAAACATCTATTTTTTGTAACAAATGTATGTGATAAATGTAATCGATGGTTACATGCATCTTTTACTTAGAAGTATATATCGAGCCAAACGCCATCTTAGGACGTGCTTGTACGGTGTTAACATAGGCAGCAAGGACTACCTTAACTACTACTAGACACCACAATTTTACTCCGCTAGTAGATTATATACACCACAACAATTCGCTCATTTCTTGATTCAACAATATTCCCAACAACTGAGGGTCAGTATGCCTTTTTCTCTATATAGATTCAATTTTTCTTTCTAATTATCTTATGAGATTAAATTGAATTAATTAAAGTAGCTATATCTACTGGCACTAGACATTGTACAATTATGAAGCAAGAAAAGTAGCAATTTTTGGGGTTGGTCTGACAGGTTGCCTTCCATCAGTGTTGGCCATGTATCCTCCTCCAAATGGCTCTACGTGCGTTGAATCCATTAATGATGCAGCTGCACTATTTAATAACAAGTTGAAGTCACTTGTGGACACCTTCAATGAAGATCTACATGGTACAGATTTCATCTATATAAACATCAATGGCATTTCACGGATTTCGCCAAGAGATATCTCCGCTCTTGGTAAGTCACAAAATAATGCCTGGAAGTGTTGAAGATATAAATATAAACGTCGTCATCTCTCATTATGATAACATGACATTGTTGTATAATATTAAGGTGACGCAATTATTTCAGGTATTAAATTTGCCAATGTCTCGTGCTGTATAGTATTGAGAACCATTTCTCAGGGACAGTGCGCTCTTGGGAAAAGTTCCATGCAATAATAGGAGCGAATACATATTCTACGACAATTTTCACCCTATAGAGATTTTAAACCAGCTCACTGCGGCAAGAGCGTACAATGCGACTTTACCAACAGGTACTTACCCAATTGATATTCGTCGTCTTGTTCAACAATAAAGATTTTAAGATAGCCAAAAGAATTTATGGTTGAAGATAAATAGACAGGACAACAAACAATCTAATGTATCGTTTCTTTAATAATCTGTCCACCTAACATACTGAGCGTGTGATAACACAAATGTACCCATTTTATAACCACGAAAATAATTATATTTTGTTCCATTTCATTATATCCGCGGTAATGCTTTACCAAATATTTTTCATATAGTCTAGATATATGCCCATATAATATATTTTTCCTCTGGTAAAATAATAATTTATAAAAAAATTAATTGTGATTTTATTTATTTATTATTGAGCATGCGAATTAAATTGTCTATGATTATTTGTGATAGTATAAGTTGTGTATCTGCATTGAGAAGTACAGTGTAGCACAACTTATATTTTAATCAGAAATAATTTATTCACAACCAATGTATAACGGTTGATACCTTGCACTGGAAGATTGTAGTGTTAACCAATTCACTCTTCAAGTTTGTATTTGTCTCTATTATAGAAATAGTTAAATGTGATACCAGTACACTTGAAATGTATTGAACGGATCACGTGTCGAGTTTAAATCTATAGCATAACCATGCAAAAATTTAAATTTCACTTAACTACTGTGTATTTTATCTAAATCACTCGACAGGATTATGTATATCTTTTCGTGATTTTAATGGTTATTTGATTCATCATTTGATTAGATTATTTTGATTGGTCAAATGTTTTGATAAGTTGGGAACTTGTGAATGAACGAAGTAAAGAACATGAATTCGTATCGAGAATCGTCATCTAAAAAAAGGATAGAGTGATTGCTTAAGTAATTTCTATTGAACGGTTAAAATCTGAACTCAGTATTTAGCGACGACTAAATTTCGACATTTGCGATTAATTCACAGGACCGTTGAAGAAAATGATACTTAAGTTAATGAAAATAATTAGAAAGACAAAGCGATCATTTATGCTCATACCTAATTATTGAATCTCAAATTGGGATAAAATACATATACTACAGGTCGAATGAGAGTATTATAAATTTATTGCCTTCTACGATCTTATATAATTCAATATTTCAGTCTTTTATATTTAATAGAAAAATGGATTAATAATTAGATCGGGTGGTCTAAAGTTGACTAGATAGAATCTAGTTATTGGAGTTTAGATAATATATGGCTGATCTGGTCACTTTGATAGCTCTATAAAGTATTGAAACTTAATTGCTATATTTATAATATTAGGTTTAATTGCAAGGAAAAATTGTAGTAGCGGTCTCTAAACTTTTACATTTTTGTAGACCTTATCCTAATATTTATTTTATGCCAATGAAAGTCCTTAATCTTTTAGAAATATGCAACAGAGGTCCAAATAGATTGTTTGACCATTAGTAGACCAAAGTCA